CCAAAAACCGATGCCGAAAACCGAGAGCCGAACGCCGGTTTCTGAAAGCCGAACGCCGAATGGCTTGGTTTTTGGCTTGGGCGAACTCCAAGTGTTTTGACCCAAGTTTAAACTTTAAGAAAAGTATTTTTGAATATGTAAAAGAGATTTTTATGAATTAAGCCTAGAGAGCCAAGATTTGGAATTTTGTGCCGGTCTTGATCACATTAAGACCGACTCAATACAATTCTAGTTCTTCGTTCTTGATTCTGGGTTCTTGGTTCTTAAGTCATCATGCCATGTTCCTTCGCCTTAGTTTTGCTCACTTTAGCTTCGATATGTCGCGGCGGTTTGACATTATCAAAACCTGTCATAAACGAACACAGTTTAGTGCGACGAAGGCGTAAACCCGTGTTCCAACACCCATGGTAGGATTGGGTCCTTTGAGAAACTTGCTGAAGTTTTCCGCAAGAAGTACCAGGACAACTGCATCAAAAGAAAGAAGTTTACCTACCTTAACACGGTAGGGCAGAGGGAGAAGGAGTCCTTGACTCAATTCTTGACCCGCTGGAGGGACGAGGTCGACAAGGTAGAAGAGATGGACGACAAGACGGCCATGTCTTTGCTGATGAATGCCTTCCGGTCGGGTGACCTCTATACCGAATTCTGTAGGAGGCCACCTTCCTCTTACCAAGAAGCCTACAATACGGCATGGGAGTATGTCGAGGCGGAGGTCTTGAATAAGAGCAAGCGGGAATTGGAGGAAGGTTATACGAAGGCGAAAACCGATAAGCCAAAGAAGGATGACCAGACGGGAGGGTCCAAGCCAAGAGCTACATATGACGAGTCCGTCAACCAAATAAGGGATGATAAGAAGGGAGAGCAACCCAAGAGGCCTTGGACGGAGAAGTGGTGTACCTACCACCAATCTGATTCCCACAATACGGCGGATTGCCGAAATGTCAAGGCTGTGCTCAAGGAGATGGCCTTGAAGGGAGAGCTTGGGGAAGGTTACGTGACGGGGAATAAAAAGGACCCGAAAGCGAACACCTGGACCCGTCCTCAGGGAAAAGACCAGGGGAGGAGAAAAGCCGGGAAGGATAACAACAAGACGGATAAAGAATTCATCGAGATGATTGTCGGCGGCCCCAAAGGGGGGGGACACTGCCTCCCAGTGGAAAAACTGGGCTAGGAGCTTGCACGTAGCGGTGGTTTCCCTAGAATCTCAAGGGAAGCAGGCAAGGAGGGAACCTATCACTTTCACTGATAGGGATCTGCCCAGGATGGGGGGAGATCATAATGACCCTTTGGTCATTACAATGGACATCAATGGGGCTGATGTGGCCAGGGTCCTGGTTGACACAGGAAGCATGTCAATGTCTTATACTTGGACGCTTTTAAGAAGCTAAAACTTGACAGGTCCATGCTGAGACCATTGCAAACTCCATTGTCGGGCTTCACTGGAGCTAGCATAGAAGCGGAAGGTCAGATCACCTTACCGGTTACCTTGGGGTCGGGTAACAAGACAGTGACCAAACAAATGAGATTTGTTGTGGTCGACATCAAGTGTGTACATAATGCCATTCTGGGTAGACTTGGAATCAACCAGGTCAGGGCCATCATTTCTATGGCACACTTATGCATGAAGTTCTACACTCCCAATGGGATCGGGGAGGAATGGGGTGATCAAAAGAATGCCCGAAGCTGTTACCTAGAAGCGGTCAAGAAGATGACCCGCCAGTTCGAACAAATTGAAATGGTCTCCCAGTAGGTAGACAAGGGTGAGGAGAAGGCTAGGATCGAGCCGGATGCAAACACGGAGGAGATCCAGATTGAGGCCTCCAATCCTGAGAGGAAGGTCAAAATTAGGGCTGATATTCAAGAGGAGTTGAGGACTGAGATTGACCAGGTATAAATCTTTGTTTGCCTGGAGTGTTGCTGATATGCCCGGAATTGACCGGTCAGTCATTTGCCATCGTCTCTCTGTTCTTGAGATGTCTAGGCCTGTAAGATAGAAGAAGAGATTTTTGGCAAGTGAAAGGAGGGACTTTGTGAAGAAGGAGGTCAAGGACATACTTGAGGTAGGTCATATCAGGGAAGTAAACTACCCTGAATGGCTGGCCAATGTAGTCCTAGCTCTGAAGGGTGATACCTGGAGGATGTGCGTGGACTACACAGACCTCAACAAGGCATGCCCGATGGACTCTTACCCTCTCCCCAGCCCGGACCAAATGGTGGACGAAACTGCTGGGTGTGAGTTGCTCAATTTCATGGATGCCTTCAAGGGGTATCACCAAATCTTCATGACGGAAGATGATGAGGAGAAGACGATCTTCCTCACTCCGTACGGCACATACTGTTATAGGGTGATGGCCTTTGGGTTGAAAAACTCAGGGGCAACTTACCAGAGGATGGTCAACAAATTGTTCAGGCCTTTGCTTGGACGGACCATGGAGGCCTATGTGGATGATATGCTAGTGAAGAGCAGGGCAGCTAGCACACATGCCCAGGATTTGGAAAAATGTTTTGAGATTATGGCAAGGCATAATCTCTTACTTAATCCAAAGAAGTGCGTTTTTGCTGTAAGGGCGGGGAAGTTCCTGGGCTTCATGGTGACAAAGAGGGGGATTGAGCCAAATCCTGAGAAGATCAAGGCCATTGTGGAGATGCAACCCCCGACATCTGTAAGGGATGTTCAGCGGTTAACAGGGCACTTGGCAGCCTTAAACTGGTTCTTGTCCAGGTCGGCAGAGAAGGCTTTGCCTTTCTTTAAGGTTTTAAAGAAAGCCAATACCTTCCAGTGGGATGACGAATGTGCCAAAGCATTCGAAGAACTAAAGACGTATCTGACTTCGGACATTGTCTTGTCCAAGCCAGAAACGAAGAAGACCCTATACCTCTACCTGGGGGTAACTCAGATGGCCGTTAGCTCAGTCTTGATGAGGGATGATGGGGTCCAGAGGCCCATCTATTATGTAAGCAAGGCCTTAAATGGGCGGAAAGTAGGTATACTCCCACATAAAAGGCAGGGTATGCACTCTTCATAACAGCAAAGAAACTCACCTCCTACTTCCAGGCCCACCTCATCATCGTGTTGACTGACCTACCATTGGGCACGGTCATGAGGGACTCCACCTCATCAGGAAGAATGATCAAATGGGCCATGATGTTGACTTAGTTCAACATCGAATATCGCCCGAGGATGGCGATAAAAGGCCAGGCTTTGGCCGATTTTCTTGGGGAGATGACGGGTCATCAGGAAGAAGAACCGGCCAGGGCCATCACCGAGCCTTGGTGGTCCATGTCAGTAGATGGAGCCTCTGGACCGAAAGGTTACGGAGGAGGTGTAGTATTCACAACTCCGGAAGGGTTCAAGGTATATCATGCCTTGATCTTTAACTTCAAACTCACAAATAATGAGGCGGAGTATGAGGCGCTGATAGGGGTCTGAGATTGGCCAAAACCCTACAAATCACATGCCTCAGGATTAAATCTGACTCAAGCTTGGTGGTAGGCCACATCAAAGGCAACGTGGAGGCCAAGGGAGAGAAGATGCAGAGGTACAGGGACTTGGCAAGAGCACTACTAAAGGACCTAACCGAGTATGTGATGGAGCAAATCCCTAGGGGGGAGAACACCGATGCTGACTTGTTATCAAAATTGACGCAAGCAGCCCCGGAGCATGTGTCCAAGCTGGCCAGGATTGAGACGCTAGAGAAAGCCAGCATTGATGGGGTTTCTGTTAACGTGATAGAAGAAGATGGACAGCCCAATCCAGATCGGGTGGAGCCAGATGATATTTGGATGGATGACTTGGTCAGGTACTATATGACCGGGAAATTCCCTGAAGATGAGGATAGGGTAAGGAAAGTAAAGTTGAGGGCTCCAAGATTCCAAATGCTTGATGGGAGGCTATACAAAAGGGCATTTGGCGGTCCGTTGCTGATATGCTTGACTAGGGCGGAGGCAGAAAGAGTGATCACCGAGTTCATGAGGGTGTTTGCGCAGCCCACCAAATGTCCAGGACACTCGCGCAAAGGATCATTTTGCTAGGTTATTTTTGGCCTACAATGAACCAAGATTGCGAGAGATATGTCCAGAGGTGCAAGACCTTCCAGGTGTTCTACAATTGCAAGTTTCCAGGAAGGCCTGCGACATACTACCACCCGGTTTCCAATGTTATTCCATTCGCAAGGTTTGGGATGGACATCATTGGAGCCTTCCCCCAAGCACAAGGGAGAAAGAAGTATGTCATGGTTGCTATCGACTACTTTACAAAGTGGGTAGATGCCGAGGTATATGCAACCATTACGACCAAGCAATGCCAGCGCTTCGTGTGGAAGAACATCATCACTAGGTTTGGGTCTCCGCGGAATATCGTGACGGATAACGGGCCTCAATTTCAAAATCCAGGGTTCACCAAATACTTGGAGGACTTCGGGATTACTCACAACAAGGCTTACGTGGCCTACCCGCAAGGGAATGGTCAGGTGGAAAATGCAAACCGCACAATAGTCGATGGCATCAAAAAGCGACTAGGAGAGGCTGGAACGAATTGGTTGGAAGAATTGCCACATATCATCTGGGCTTATCGGGTCACTTCGAGAAGGGCCACCGGGGAGACACATTTTGTCCTTACATATGGGTGTGAGGCCAGACTACCCATCGAAGCAAAAATAATGACCTTCCGGGAAAAAATCTATGAGGAGAAAGGGAATGAGGAAGACCATTTGGCAGAGCTGAACTTGTTGGAAGAAAGGCGGATGGTCGCTGAGGCTAAAATGATAGAATACCAGCAAGCAGCCAAGGCCTACCATGATAACAAGGTAGGGCCTCGTTATTTCCAAGTAGGTGACGAGGTCTTGAGACGGAGGGAGGCCAGCAAACCAGGAGACGGGGGAAAGTTTGCGAAGAAATGGGAAGGTCCATATAGGGTCACGACAATATTACGCCCTGGGACGTATAAGTTAGAAACGATGGAAGGTAGAGAATTGGAAAGGTGTTGGAATTCCCACCACCTTAGAAAATTCTACCGATAGACCAAAATTGGCAGGGCATGTATTTGTAACACCCCCTTCGATGATAAATAAAAGCTTTCTTCAATACTTGTGTTGCTGGGTCAGTGATGTTAAAATAACTTGTCTTGATGTAAGAGGCAAGGTCAAAAAAAAGATAGACCCTTGAGATGGGGGCCTCGATGTTGAGGTATAGCCTTGAGATAGGCTGGGTCTGGAAGAGGACTCGCGTCCATACTTACATGGATCCCTACCAATTTTTTGTTTGGATAGGGGCGAAAATATGCCAAGTACAAAATGTTTACCGTCTTGCATGAGCCATCCTTTGCGGATTGAAGGGTCTAGGGAAGACTAGAATTCACTTCAAACGCATAACATATGGACATGTAAGATTGGATGAGGGCTGGAAGTTAAATCAAGCATATTCAAGAAAAGGCAAGTATAACCAAGTAACTTCAAAAATATGACCGTGCAATAGTGCAAACAACCATGCAAGGAAGACAATCATGCAAGAAAAGGAATTCAACCATGCAACATGAAGTAAATATGACCGGCAATCTTTTAAAGGCAAACCAAGAAAACTTAATGTTACACAAGTTAAAGTAGGCTAGACATCCCCCAGGCCTTGGGAAAATTCAGAGTTTCTTCAAAAACTACCCTAACCTACTTTAACGGGAAAAAGGGGGTTGGCTCTTCCTTGTATAGGGCTGGAAGCTTCAACTTGGCCGGGTCAAATGAAGGATCTCTCTTATAGAGCCTTTTATAAAGGAGGGACCTTTCTTCTTTTTGGCCGCATTGAAACCCATAAGACCCTACATCTGTGATCATTCTCTTCCCCTCAGGCTCTTGGTACATGACCTTGAAGAAGTCCATTGTTGCCACCGGTGAAGTGAGAATGGACCGGGCGACTTCCGAGTGATGGCAAGCAGCCCAGTCTGCAGCTTTTGTAGGGAAGGCTTCCTCTTTTGCCCGGGCAGATTCTTCGGCCTGCCCCAAAGCTTCCTCCAGCTCAGCCACCTTCCTCTTTTCCTCCGCCAACTTGGCCCTTTCCTCCTCTAACCTGGCCCTTTCAGCCATCAGCTCTTCCTCCAGCTTCTTCTCCCTCTCAACCCGGTCATTGATCTCTAACTTAGCGGAGTCAAGGAGGAGGGTGAGCTCGGAGACCTGGTCCTTTGGTTCAAGGATTGACCGGCCAACTTCTTCAGATATGACTCCAACCTGGAAAACAGGCCTATCAGTAAAAGCAAAGGAAGTAATTAAACTGGGAGGAAAATCAGAGTTGGTACCTTGCTAAGTTTCTTGGCCAAGGACAGAAATGTTTCTTCAATGGACTCCCCCTCCAGATCTGATAGCCTGACCTTCTTCTTCCTTTCCCCTCTGGAAGTCTTGTGGGAACCCTTCCTTTTTTGAGCCTTCTTGTGGGAGGAAGAATGACCGGTCTCTTTTCCTTTGGCTTTGACATCCTTCTTTGGAGAAGTCACCCGGTCACTTTCAGAGAGATGGGTGGCTGAAGGGGATTTCAGTTTCTGGCTGTGTATGAGCTCATGGATAGGGGTGCACCGGGCACTTGGGGCATCTTCCATTTTGGGGATGTGAGGGGGAGAAGGAAGCCTGGAAGAAGACTGGTTGGCATGGACTTCAACATCATCGTCGTCATCTTCGATGATGGTGGACATCCTGGTGAAGTTCATGTCAGCCAAAAAGAACAAAGCAACCGGTTAAACATTTTACCTTAAGGAAAATGTAAAATAAATAGTTTGAAGAAAGGTGACTAACCTGGATGAGGAGAACTGCCCTCAGCATGACCATCCGGGGATTTGGCTCAGTCATCTTTTGCGTCATGGGTCGCAGACACACCCCCATCCGGGTTAGGTAACCGGTATACCCATCCACCATAGGCGTATGGCTTACCGGTCACAGGATCACCCTTGAGAAGTTTCTCGCAGGCGTCCTCTAGCTCTTTAGTGGGCTCCGGGTGAACCCTTTCAGGTTTTATAACCCGGTCAGCCCACTCACGGTTAGAGAGTGGAAATTGGTCAGAGGGGAATTCAATGAAAACAAATCTTTGCTTCCATTTCTTGTGGCTAGGGGGGAGACCGGTCAAAAAACCCTTAGAGTTGGCACGGGAATGGAAGTAAACAAAGCCCGGGCAGTTACTAGTCCCGAGCAAGACATCATACATATGAAGGAAGAGGTCCAAGGAAGGTTTGATTTTTAGAGATTCACAAATATTTACAAAAAAATCCAAGAACCGGTGAGCATTTGGAGTAAGCTGGCTGGGCAAAAGATTGATCTTATTACAGATTTCTACGAGGAGGGGGCGAAGGGGAAAGATAATGCCTCCCTCTAAAGAAGCAACGTGAAAACCTAACCGGTTACCCTGGTGGGGTTCTATAATGTTGGGCCAGGTGGTTTTTGAAAGAAGTTTGTAGCCCGGTGGAAGAACAGAACGGACTTCGGCCAGGACCTTTTTTGTAACCTTAGAGGACTCCTTGAAGACCGGTCCTGAGTCAAGGGCTAGGTAACCCAGCGATCCCAATCGCTCTTCCCATTGGTCCCAGCTGAGGACCTTGGGATTGAACCGACTGGGCAGTTGGTTCAAAGGGACAGGCTCCTGGGTGACTATTTCCCAGGGCTGAGAGCTAGACTGGTGAGAGGGGCGGCGAATTAAAGGAGTGACAGGGGGAGAAGCAGAGTCAGATTGGTCAGAGGAAGAGGGCTGAGAGCCTGATCCATAGGATTCGCCAGATATGTTTTGGCTATCAGAAGACATGACCTCAGCCTACCGGGCAAAAATGGAAAGATGGAAGAATTAAAAGACTATGAGGACTGGAGGACTTACTTGGCAAAGAGCTAGAGAGAGAAAGATGACCGGTTGAAGTTGGGAGAGCGAAGAGAAGAAGTGAAGAAGTGAGATGGGTTGGAGGAGTATTTATAGGAGAGAGAGAAAAGTGGGCGGAGCTCGAGGCAACATGTGGAGGGCTGAGGGGATGCCACGAGAAAAGGGTAATGATGAAGGAAAAAATTTGAATTTTGAACATGGAAGGTGAAAGGTTTTGGGGGGAAACGCCAAAATCCAAGAGCGGGACCCAACGTTTGGGCTACCACAGATCCAAAATGACAGGTCATTGATGGCTGGTTAGCGACGGATCCAAAAAATGACAAGTCATGGGACGGCTTATTGATTCAAAATGGACAAGTCTGATACTAAGATTGATTCTAGAAAAGGACAGGTTGACGAGGATGATTATGATCTCAGAAAGGAAAGTCTGGATAATTCCCAAAAGTGACAGGTCTGAAAGGAAAGGCCTGATAATTCAAAAAAGCACAGGTCTTTAAAAAGAAAGGCTTGATGATCTTAAAAGATAGGTCAACAAGAATGACTTGATGGTTTCGAAGAAGGGCAAGTCTGAAAGGGAAAGGCTCGATGATTCAAAAGGACAGGTCAGGTGAAGAGACTTGGTGATGCAAAAGGATTGGTCGGCAAGGGTGACTTGATGATTTCAAGTGGGATACACAAGTATACTTCCCGCCCTTGATGAATTCCTCACAAGGCCGGTAAGTGGAGGACTTCTTGATGGGTATATCCTTATACCCGACCCGGATAACCGAAAGGGACTGGTCAAAATATGATCGGTCACTTTTATGAATCACCAAATGAGGTTAACTCTTCTATTGGGACGGGTCAAAAGTTGACCGGTCACTTCCTCTAAAAAATGTGACCAGTCACATTTTGGGCGATAGCCAATTCATCCATCTATGTTACGAAGGGTATTCAGAGGACCAAAGAGATGGGTTGAACTCAAGAAGTGACCGGGTAACCTTCGAGAAAAGGTGACCGGTCATGTTGCACTATTTGAGAATGGCAATCAACGTCAGAGGCCAAGGGACCACCCCGTCGTTCGTCCATCACGAGGCAAACAGTGAAAGGAATGTTTGTCATTTTGCAGGGTCGATTGGATTGAGAATATCCATGTTATGGTCTTTGATTGAAGAGTACATGTCTTGGCTTGTAGTTGCTAAATTCATTGATTGAATAGTAGATTGATTATGTACAGTGACCTTCCTCCGGGTTTCCTATTTTGTCCATGGATGAACAGGGGAAGATCACAAATCCTCCTCTATAAATATGATGATATTGGATAGAGGAGGGGATCCATTCTTTTCTCTCACTAAAACTAGTACACTCTTGAAACAGAGTAAGAAATATATTTCGGACTGAGGAGGTTTACCCGGTCTAGGTCATATTTTGTGTTCTTATTGTGTGTTTTATATTACGGGTCGAGTGTGTCCAGGTCAAACCCGGTCAACCCACCCATCTATATTTACACCATCAGAATCAATTCTTATTACCTAGAAATTTGGAAAAGAAGATGATGGAGAAGAACATTAAAGAGGACTGACTGCTGAGGAGTTAACCGTACCTTCGCAGATTCGATTGAAGCCTTTTGAGACAGGAAGGAGATATGAAATCTGAAAATCGTCGGCCGTCAGCTGTCGCTCGTCTAAGAATCGACTGAGAATCGTCGGCCGACTGTGATTCTGACTTTCTGAGAACTTGAGAAGCATCGGCGGTTGGAAACGAAGGTGTAAGGACGAAGGGTCACTGACGATTGGGAATTTGCCAAATTGGGATGGGTGTTTGGGAATTTCTGAATTGGGATTTGTAGAGTGGACTCGACTTCTTCACTCTTGGACACTTGCACCGATTGAAAATTAAATGGTCTACTCGGTCTATTCAGTCAAGACCGATTGTGTATCGGGTTTAGACAGGACCGGACCGAACCCCGAAATGTTGAATTTATAAGACCAAAGACCGACCCGAAATCAATTCGGTCCGAGTTCGGTCTAGACCTATCGGCCCGGATTCGGTCTGTACCTATCGGTCCGGTTCGGTCGGTTTTTTTGGTCTGGACCTAAACATGAACACCCCTAGTGAATACTATGGAATTTGCCTAAAAAATTTGTAGAGTAAATTCTAAGTGTTGTTTTCTCAAATTAGTTCTTTAAAATAAGTTAATTATCGAGATAATACTCATTAGTTGAAAATAAGGTTCAATTTAGTTCTTCGACTAACCGCCATCAAAATGATACTCCCTCCGTCCATTTTTAATGTTTGTACTTTCCTTTTTTGTCTGTCCACAAATAAAGTTCATGTTTCCTTATTTGGTAAATTTTTTTTATTTAAAAGACTAAATTACCCTTCCTTATCAATTATTTTTATTCTTTCTTTTCTTCTCTTCTCTTCTTTTTTTCTCTTTTTTTCTTCTCTGCCGTTCACACCTCCTTTTTTCTCATTCTTCTTTCCTTCTTTATTTCTTTAATCCTTCCCCTTTCTCAGTTTTCCTTTCCCTTTTCTCCTTCCAGTTTTTTCTTCTTGTTCTTCTCCCCTTCTGAATTTTCTCTTCTGATTTTTCCTTCTTCTTCTTTCCCCCTTCTAAATTTTCCTTTCTTCATCTACCTCCGATTATTCCTTTCTTCATCATCTTCTTCTTCCCCCCTCCACATTTTTCCTTTCTCTTCTTCTTCTTCTTCTTCTTCTTCTTCTTCTTCTTCTTCTTCTCCTCCTACTTCTTGTCCGTCAGATATGAAGAAAATCAATTCAGATCTATGAATCGATGAGCGATCTTTTTTAAATCTTTTTCACCTTCATCTTCTTCATCTCCTTCAGATCTGTCCGATTCTTACACCTTGGTGCAAGAACAGAATGCTCGACTTTGTTTGCCAAAATTTCTCTCTTGCTGCAAATTCACTAAATTTTGGGTTGCCGAAATTTTTCTCAGGAACAGGAAGGAAGAGGTTGGGCGACAAGAGCTCGGACGGTCGGACCAGGCCTCATTAATCAGAACGGGTGTGAAAGTGGGGTAAGGTTGAGGAGGGTATTTTGGTAAAGTCAAAGTAAATTTTAACTTTTATTAAACTCCGTGCCCGGTCAAACCCTGAACATTAAAAATGGACGGAGGAAGTATTAAATCCTATACTTATTTTTCAAAATGATCATTTTCAATCGAATGTTTTTCAAAATTAATCAATTTTTGAAATAAAATCTCATAAAAAATGGTTTCCTGACTTTGCTCAAACACTATAAATCAATTAAAAGGGAAGAATCATACTTCAGTTCTCATATTAAATGAGAAAATAGACTAATTTCAAAAAATATCCAATTATAGATGATCAAATTGAAAAATTAGCATAAATTTTAATGTCGTTTTGACAACTGTTAATCAGGGAGACTAAATTGAGCATTATTATCAATTAGTGAATACCATCTCGGTAATTAATTCATCTTTGGGACTAATTTGAAAGAATACATAATTTTTTAGGATCTTTTTAGAAATTTACTCAAATTTGTATGATATACTTCTTCTGTCCTAAAATATTTTATTAGTTTTAGCACTTTTTATGAGCTTAACTTTAAATTTAGTACAAGGCACCACTTAGACCGTTTAAGATGTAATTTTAGCACATTAAGTGAGAGTGACCTCATGCCTATTTTGTCCAAACAGAACGGACGCTGCCACCCTCATATTCAAATAATGTTGAATGCCCATCTCATCAATGTTTTGTTGATACAAATGCCAAAGAAATCGTGTGTGGTACATTCAAGTTTATTGTTATGAATGACCCAATCAGGGAAGCCGCATTCGGTTAAGAAGTGTTGAAGATAGTGTTCATTTCTCAAAAAATGAACTTAACACCATGTGATATCTTTATCGTTAATGCAAACAATACCATTATGAATTTCTTGATAGCTTCACAATTCATCATGTCACACATATCGATATTGTCTTAAGATTGTCACTATAGGCGTTTTCTAAAACCAAAATGATTGAAGAAAAATCAAGGTCACCCAAAAGTAGAAATTACAATCCAAAATATAAGGATCCATTTACTATGTTTTGAACGTATAATATAATATAGATGTCTCATCTAAGAGAAATGATATAGATTGTAAAACCTAAAATAAGGTTATTTGAAAGGATTTAAAATACTGATTTGATTAATACTGTAATAGACAGGGGTGACCAACAACAAGAGAGGGTGGTTGACGATGACAATGATAGTCGGTGGCAAAATGTGATCGATAGTTAAGGCTAATATCAAACTTTCATATTAATATCTCTTAAATTTAGGAGATATCAAAATCCTCTAGATAGAGGGTTGGTAACATATAGGAAAGATAAAATTCCAAATCTTTTTATGCTTCACAAAATACCAAAAAGAAGATTTTCATATTAAGAGATACAAAGCCCATATCTTATGCACTCACCAAACGAGTCATGAAATTTCTTAAGGGGAGAGAAGGCTACGAGTCAAGGCCACGGGTCAATAGCTAAAAAGTATATTCTACTCCCTCCATCCCAAATAAGTTGCATGTTTATTATTTGTAAGGTCAAACTTCAATCACTTTCTTTTTCTTATTTTCGTTAATTACTCATTTGATAAATAATATAGTCATATCACCTTTTGTTCCAGAACTGTTGCTTTAGTTTTTTTAATATGTAAGAGTTTATTTTAATTTCACGCCAATTTTCTAATAAATTGCATTAAAAATAATTTCAATCAAACATCAGAAACTGAAACATGCAATTTAAATTGAGACAAAAGAAGTACAACTCAAATTCTTTCTGTATTTTTTCCAAGATCACTTTTGCTCAATCAATGGGATGCCCAAATTGTGCTCACAAGAAACTTGCAAAAAGAGAGCAAATGAGACTAGTCCTAGGGCTACCGTTAAGATAATATTAGCCACCTACCATAAGGAGCTTCGATAACTGTCGTGCCATAGCTAGTCATAACTTCCCTCTCTGGTTCCGTCTGCCGACCACTCAAACAACATTTCATGTATTCAGTGATTCAGTCCTGGTCACACTCAGTTTGTGTAAAAAGTTTTGCGCGAAATAGACGTTACACTTCAATGAATAAATAAAAGGATTTTTATGATATATTATTATTATTATTATTATTATTATTATCATTATCATCATCATCATCATTACTATTATTATTATTATAATAAAAGTATTGTAATACTTAACTCATACTTTTAAGTCCTATCAAAATCGCCAAAAACCAAATATCCATGTTTGTATGGCACGAAACAATACGACCACAATCTACGTTGCATCAATTCACATAGACAAGGGCATTATAGCAAAGATAGTTATGGAGAAAATCACGAACAACAAACATGCAAATTAAAGGACAGTGTAATGCCTTACAAACCGGCCTAATAGCTAGCCAATATTTTAAATAAATAAATATTATTTATTTATTGAGACTCATTATTTTAAAATAATAAATATTGAGATTTTGATCTCTTTAAGTGGACTTCAAAGGATAATTATATAAAGATGTTTTTAATAACGGGTCTCTCAACATTAATTGGTTAGATAAATTAATTAATGAATGAGATGGATCCGGTAGTTTGAAAATAAAGTTTGGAGAAAAATATTTTGAAGATATCATACATTTAGTTTTGACTGTTTATTTCCGAAAACACAATCAGTTTTCAATTCGGGCAAGTTGGGGGGGTGGGAGGGGACGTATTGTTCAAGTCGGAATTTACACAACAAAATAAGATTTAAGGAGATAACTCCTCATTTAATTCCCCCACACGCCACTCCCACACCATTCATGCACCACCTTTAATTCTCCACTCCTCACCATTACTCCTCTTTAATATATACACCCCCTCTCCCTTTAATTTCCTTTTTAGTAGCTCCCAACCCCAGTAATGTAGCATCTGTTCAATCTAATAATCTCAACCTCTACAGCGCATGAGTGGGGCTCGAAATGCAAAGAAGCTTGGGGTGGCTTTCTTGTCACTATGCCAACTTGCTTAAGTGTCCAACATCGAAAATTGAAAAGAAAAGTAATATAAGCTCTTGAGATGAATTAAGTAATCGATTAAATTCAATCTTTTAATATAGTTCAACTCAAGTATCTTAGAGCCCAATCCAATAATCCATACATATCCTACATTTTATCATGGTATCAAAGCATATTTTGGTTCACCTCATTTGTCAAGATGTCCGTTCATACTTTCATTCCTAGCGGTTCATGAGTCCTTAGCCCAGTTGTTCGTATGAGAGATACAAGTGGCCAATTTAATTCGATTAGTCGTCTGGAAGTCCATACCCAACGACTCGTGGTCATATAGGTGTTGTTAATGCACTAAGTAATTGATTGAATTCAATCTTCTAATGTGGTTTAGCCCAAGAGTTTTATGGCTCAATCCAGTAATTCATATCTCATCCTAAATTTTACGAACACAATTGATTTGCAAAAAAAAGACTTTTGGATACCTAGTACTCAAGCAAGCAATGCATCTCCATTTTTGTTTGAAGGTATTTCCAACACACTTCTTTGCTCAACTTTGTTCCTCTTTTTAAAACTCTTCAGGTAGTTAAGATTTATTTAGAAATCAAAATCGTAAAATTAATCAGGAGCTGCCCAAAAAAGAAAAATAGCATCATTTGAAATCATACACCAAAAATCTATGGTGCACCATTTGATCCAAATGGTAAATGTGATTCTTTTGACAAGATGATCATAAATTGATTTGATCAAGATAAGAGGCCTTCCTAACTTCAATGAAGTCAGATACACTCAATGCATCACTTTGCATAACAATTCTGCCATCTTCCATGTAAACAGCACCATCTGCATGCTCAAGTTCTTCCAGTCGATGGGTGACCCACAATGCAGTAAGTTCTTTAGATGCATGTATAGATTTCTTCACAGCCTTAATCACCCCAATCTGGCAAAAGTTCACATTAAATGATTTAGATATCAAAAGATACTTTGGACAATCTGATTGCATTTGGACTCAAATAAGCCAGCCTCATCAAAAGGAAACTAAACCATTACACTCCCATTTTAACCCATTCACCGATAAATTAATCCTAATAGATCTGAACAGAAGATCTTGAGAGATACGCCTCACGGCATCCGTAAAAAGTATTACTTTTCAGCTCAATGCTAGACCTTTTGGGCTAAAAATCGCCACCTGTCAAAACGTTTCATTTTTTAAAGGTGGTAGTTCTCAACTAAAAAGTATTCCGTATTAGTTTTAAGCAGAAACTGATGGGTCTCGCACTCTTGCTGGAGCTCCAATTCTCCAAATTGAATATTTATCCGAGCAGTTGTTTAAATATAGAAGAATCTTAGGAAAAAGTTGAGACTCCGTACCATCTTCCTCCCCCATACCCTGGCAGGGTGGGACCCATTAATTCAAACATGCAAAAATATATGTTTTGTTCAACCGAATGACTTGTAGCGACAAGACAACAAATGACTACGCAAGCAGTAACAATAGTACCTGATCATTTTCGTCCAAGAATGTAGTCAGTTCATCTAACAACAACACTTGGCATGACTCTGCCAAAGCACCAGCAGTGGCTACCCTTTGTTTCTGACCTCCACTAAGAGTGTGAACTGGTTTCTGCCAAGTACAATAGAAATGGTCATTAATTGATTACACCTGTCACCATACTATTTGGCAGTAGGTTGATATTAATTTTCACTGTTTCAGTTAAGCAAAAGGATGTAATTACTTCTATACATATGGCAAGAAGAGGGAATAATAGAATAAATATAAAGTAAGTTTCATACATTCCCTCAAAACATGAAGAACTTTAGCAACTTTCAGAAACCAGAGAGAAATTACAGAAATGGAGCATGGTTGGATTGAAATTTATACAGAACCCCTAGCAAAGGAGGACTTCAATGGGCAGAATAAAGTATTGGGTAGGAGCACATCAGATGTACACCAGACCATGTAATCTAGTTCAGCACATAATCAACAAAAAAGAAATATATTGATGGATAGGCATGCCCACACTCCTGATGTGCTTTTCAACTGAGACAAAGTAAGCCCTATGTAGAAAGAAACCTTTGCCCATATGTAACCTATTTTTCCACCAAGAATAAAATCTATACAAAAAGGGAGTATCCCGACTTGGAAGGACTAGGAGACAAATGTACAATGTGTCAGGATGCAAGGGAAACTCCAAAGAGTCAAGGCAACAACCACGTGAAATATTCTTGGTGACATAATTGAAGGTTCAACTGTCAAAATCCAGAAAACGAGGGATTTTCTCAATCCCTCTCTTATTGCATTTAAAAATCACTAATAATTGTTCTTTGTTAAACATGTTTGTAGCTTTTCACAATAAAGATGGTGATTATTTGTGTTGTTATGGGTGGCTCAATTGTTTTCTAGACTAAATAAAAATATGACGTATCCCCATTTAATTGAATCAAAGTATTGCATTAGAACCATCTATTAGAGAAGGCTAAAGCATAACAGTAAAATACTAATTCAAGTAATTAGACTTAGAGCATGTGAAACAACGAGCTGTGTTGATATCATGTCGCACGTGCATGCTTAAGCCGTTACATAACTACTGACTAAATGTATAGATTTGCATAGAATAAATGAAAGTTGAGGGGACCAAAAGTGAAAATGACAAAAACTGGAATATTTTCCCATTTAAATGTTCAAAACTGAAACCTTGCTATTGAGAAATCGTTCCCTGTCCACATAAGCCACAGATCACTGATGCAGACATGGGATTCATATGCCAAAGACACATTGTTTCTCAAAAGAATAATGATATAACTCAGGTGATCTAGTTATATGTATTATTTAAGACAAGACTCATTCTATTATATACAGAGCTCATAATAAGAATACAATTAATGATGTGTATGTATTCCCAAGTTGCACCTTCATTGCATTTTAAATTATTTGATTTGCTTATTCTAATTACCTGACTAATGATTGGTGTTCTAAATAATCCCTCCTCCGTACATAAGTTTTCTTCTCACTTAACATTTTGGTCTGTCCATAAATTTTCTTCCCAATTCCTTATTTGGTAAATTATTTTATGCTTTGGGAGCCGAAGGTTCACTATTTTTTGGCTTTGGGATATGATGGAATAAAGCAAATTGGCTCTCTAAACTGTCTGTGCTTCTTGCAATTGTGAAGTAGCAATTGGTCAATGCAACTTTCGACGCTCATCATGGGTCATTTGGAAACATCCGCTTAAACATAGGGGTCAAAGATCCGACCCCACCCCCCTTACCCCGCAATGGGTAGGAACTGTTGAGGCACCGGGGTAATGTTATTGTTGTTGTTTCAATGTTCATAACAAAGAATATGGAAACCCTTCTTTAAAAAGTTGATTGCTTTTCCAATTATTTTGTATCCTGTTTCTAATGCAAAATTTATACTTATTTGTTGTTTTATGAATTGTATGCCAATGTAAAATATTATTCAACACATATATTTGATTTCTTAATTACTCATCAAACAGTTGTAACGGAAAGACAATACAAATCTTAACTTTTCTTAACATTTGTTCCCGGTCAAAACTGGAAGAAAATAAATGGACGGAGAGACTAATACAGGTTATAGTAAATTTGTTATTTGACCTTTGTCATAGTGGAATAAATACTTCATTACCATATTAGATATTTGATCACATGCACTTGCACATTGCAATGTTTTACAACATGCATCATGCAGTTTTAATCATAACTTCAAAGCAAGATTTTGGAAGCCAGTACATGCAAATGCTCATACATGCCAACAGCATCCAGTGCTTTTGCCACTCTAGGCTTGATCTCATCCATGGATATGTTAAGTTTCCCTAGACCAAAAGCCACATCAGCTTCCACAGTAGGCATTACCACCTGTTGATAGAGAAATATGTAAGTCACATTATATATCTGTAAATATTAATTATTCGCTAGTTAAATGAAAACAACAGCTAGGAACAAGCAATAGAAACATTTTAGTCAAGGCATTTCCATATAGAGTGATACTGAGAAGTGAGAAGGATCTTCATATGGCGTTTATTGACCTCGAAAAGGCGTACAACAGGTTGTCGAGTCTTGTGGAGGTGTCTTGAGTTGATAGGGCCTTCGATGGCATACATTCATGCAGTCAAAGATTTGTACAGCGGGGCAAGGACTAGGGTAAACACTGTTGGGGTGACTCTGAACCTTTCTCTGTAGAGGTGGGATTACACCATAGGTCTGCCCTTAGCCCTTTCTTGTTCGCTCTGGTGATGGACGTCCGGACACAGGGAATTCAAGGAGAGGCACTGTTGTGCATGCTTTTTGCTTAAGATATTGTGCTTATCGACGACACTTGCGAGAGACTAAATAACAAGTTGGAACTTTGGCGCCTTTCCTTGGAATCCAAATGACTGTAGGACCACGACTGAATACAAATAATATTGTTTTAGTGGCCGGGAAACGGAATCACGGTGGAGCTTAAGATTGATTCTCACTCAATGCCTAAGATAGACAAGTTTTGGTATCTTGGCTAGGAAGTTCAGGCGGATGGGGAGTTGGACGGGAATGTTGGCATCGTGTTGGAGTGACTTGGGCTAAGTGGAGGTGCGATAAGAAGATTTCGGCTAGGATGAAAGGTAAGCTTTGCTGGTCAGTAGTCAAGCCAGCTATGTTGTATGGTGCGAAGTGTTGAGCAATTAAGAAAACCCATGTTTGCGACTTGCATGCTGCGGAGATGCGAATGCTGCCGTGGATGACAAGGATGGAAAGGATTAATTTACCCAAAGACGGGTAGGCCTGGCTCGTATGAAAGATAAGATATGAGAAGCTAGGTTGGGGGGGGCATGTGAGGCGGCAGAGTGATGTATGCCCCTGTGTGGAGATGCGAGAGGCTTGCGTTGGTTGGTGGGAGTAGGCGAAGGGGAAGACCTAGGAAAAATTGAATTGGAAAGAGGTGATTAGACAAGACCTAGGACTTCTTGCCCTTACGGAGGTTATGGCCTTAGATAGGAGCACTTGGAGAGCAAGGATAAAGGTAGTGGTAGTTAAGTAGGAACTTTAAGCTAGGTAGTAGTTCCTGCACTTGTCCATGCCACAGCTGAATGCCAAGTGGATAAACAAAATTTTGTCAGGTTGGCGCGGCTTCCAAAAATTGGGTGCCTTGGTAGTACCATCAACATATCCCAGGAGGTTGAGTCCGATGAAAGTGGATTGCACTTGACGATGCCATAATAAAAAGTTGGTATTTGTGAGTTTGATATGAAAGGACTTCGGCACGGCCAGACGAATTGGCTCGACTGGAGTAGCAACACTGTAGGTGGTTGACATCATCAACGAGGTAGTGGTAAGGGAAGAGCATATTTGGGGGGGGATTCTAGTTTAAGAAAGGAGAAGCTCTGGCACCATATAGAGAGACATAAAATTTGTCGTATATCCACTAAACAAGAAGCTGGTATACATAGAGGAGGGAGTACAAATGAACAAGGAAGCTAATACATACAAGGAAAGTATTCAAACATTAAAACAATTATTACATATCATACACAAAATGTAACCTACGACTCTACGAGAGAGAGAGAGACTTGAGGAGAGATCTATGGGAGAGAGATATTATCTCTATTATTCCATTATATCTTTTATAAAATATTATTGGCTAATTAATGAAAACAAAACTATAAAGAACAAACATTAGAAATATTTTAATCTAGACATGAATGGATAAATGAAAATAAAGAAAAGGTGATAGCTTCAAAAGAGCATTCACTATGCAAAGTTGATAAAACAAAAATATCTAATATCATCATGGATATATTATATCTAGAATAAGATATATATATATTGGTCTGAGAATCAATTTCTCACTTGACTAAGATGTTGGGTGCATCCTTTTGACATATCAAAAATTTGGTGTACGGGTTTAGATAGGGATGCTAGTCTGACTTCTTAACAAAGTAGTTAAGTCTATAATGCCGTTCGAGTCCATGTCCCAATCAAAGTTTATGCAATAAGGCAAAAACCAAAATGGTCAAAGATCCAGTCATTCAGCAATATATGTGCCCTTTGGATTCTCTATGAATGGAATTGTTCGATTCCTTTCCAAGAAGAACAATATATGTGTTCCCTCCCATTCCATATCCACATTTCCAGGATGACTAAAAAACTGGGACAAGCACTTTAGATGAAGTAAATGAGCCAAATAAGGGAACCCATTACAAAAACAAACCTGGTGGTCTGGATTTTGATATACATAACTCTTTGGTTTCTTCACATAAAAAGAACCACTGTTGGGACACAAGAGCCCCGCCAAGATCTGGGTATTTACAAACAAAATTAACAACCAGATATCATGTTAAAATGCTAACCTACTGAGAGTGCGGAATTAAAATGCAAAAAATCGAATGCTCAGTTTTCAATTTCACCTTCAAAAGAGTAGACTTTCCCGAGCCATTGGGCCCAAGAAGCATCCATAGCTGGCCAGAAGGAATGCTCAGGGAACAGTCGTTTAGAATTGGGAGCTCTTTTCCCTGTTTTGTAAGAACCGAATATCTGAGATTTCGAGCTTCAATTGCACAACTCTCGCCAATTGCGGAACACCTGCGCACCAAACAAGATATTCGTAAAGCCTGAATGAAATTTTTCTTTACTTTGAGAGAGAGAGAGAGAGAGAGAGCTGCCTGGTTGAGGAAGAATAGAGAGGTGGGAGCTGGAAAGCAGAGGCGCATATACAAGTCGATGGGATCATTCTGCTTGGAAGGCTCCAACGGTGTAAACCTCTATCAGTCAGTCCAGTGTCGTGAACTTGTGATCTACCCATACACGAGGTGGGGGACTAGTATATAGGACGGGCACGAAAACCGTTCCTGTTGACTCGTTCCGAAACATATCGGAACCGTGTTTAAATTGTACGGAGTACCTTTTTTTTTAATTCAAATTTTTTTGTCCCGAGCCCGTTCTGTCTCGATTTTAAGTGGGACATTACCGGGATAACATACAAGTGTACCGTTCCATCCCGTTTGTCATGTTTTGTATATTCTTCTAAAAACATTATACTACATATATACATATACATACATACATACATACATACATACATACATACATACATATATATATATATATATATATATTATTTTCAATCTTTTTATTCTCAATTTTTATTATTGTCCTAAAATTAGGAAAAAGTAGGACTATCTGAATCCGTTCCGTTTTGTCCCGATCCCGAAAGTTATGGGATAAAGTGGGATAGGCTTGTGGTTCGAACCGTTCCGAACCGTTTGAATATAACGGGACAAGACGCGGGATTGTAAGAAACCCGAACCGTCCCGACCCGTGCTCATCCCTACTAGTATCCCATATGGGTGATGGGTAGGCCGGGGTGAGCAAACACATTCCTAGTTGAATTCACAAAAAGAGTATGCTCCTCTCACCCCACTTTGTATCTCATTTTGTACTCCAAAGTTTTATTTTGACATAAAATGTAGGCACAAAACTAGCATAATACTAGTTTTGCACTTACATTTAATGTCAGGACAAATTCTTATAGTACAGATATGGGGTACAAGTAGAATTTTCCTTCACAAGAATTTTCCTAAATTGAGTGATGCTTACATTGTCTCGAAATACATACTCCCTCCGTCCACCTAAGATATTCTCATTACGTGTTACGAGGCTTGACCGACTTTATTTTCAATTCAATTTAATTGATTACAAGAGTAAAACTTTAAAAAAAATATAGTAATAAACTACATGAAAAGTTCTACAAAACTAGAGGTGACAAGACTATATTATTTTACGAAATGACTAGTAAAAATGAGCAAAGAAAGTGAGTAAAGTTTGACCCTGTGAATAGTTTCTGGGAAGATCTATGGTGGACAGAGAGAGTATTTAAGATGTGGACATTCTCACATTTTTCAAGAGCTTGCATGTAGATATATTCATTTTTGTAAAGACTCACTTCTTTTATAATACAAATACAATAAGTTGCATAAAACGAGTGTTGATCTTATGTCCACGGAAGAATTTGCCTTCTATAAATTAATTCTTAATAAACAATAATTATCAATGTGGTCTTTGGTAATTGATATATATTCCCTATATAATCATATGTCAAAAATGTCTATCAAATATCAATCAAATAGAAGATATTTTTGTATTTTCTAGCATCTAGACTTAATGTATGTTCATGAAATACTCCTTTACAATTAAGTATTTTTCCAAACTAATAATTTCTAAGTAAATATTTTCTCGAAATAGTGCCCAGGAGCTAACTCGGGGTGGGTCAGTTACTCTAGCAGCTTACCGCTTTATTTGAAAGGACCATTTTGTAGACTTATTTTTGTATGATGGAAAATACAAAAATACTTTCCATTTAATTGTCATTTAATAGGCATTTTTACGGATGACTATTTTGGAAATAAATCTCAATTATAAAGAACCATGTTGGTAATTATTGTTTATTGAGGACTAATTTGAAAAATACCTAATATTATTAGAAAGGGTCGTTTTGAGAATTTACACTAATTTTATTGGGGAATTGAAATACTACGGATTTATGTGAGAGTGATGATAACACTTTCAAATTGATTATTTGGATTTTCAATTCAAGCTCAATTAAATAAAACTCAAATTATTGATCAAAACAAGTATGAATTGTATTTAATTTTCGAACTGCCCTTATGACCAAACTTGCGAGAATGTATTATAGGCGCGGGAAAGGGCAAAAAGCTTCATTCGCAATTCTATCCAATGATTGCAGCTAATCATGCAAAAATAGTAAGGGGCGCTCTTTCGAATTTCTTTAAGTATCGAATCCAAAAATAAAATTCAACTAAATTTTTAACATGGGATATTGACCCCAGCCAGGGGCTCTACCCCTTGGACCCTACAAGGGTTGCCGCCCCTTGATTTATGTTCAGGGGGCACTACCCCTGAATCCCTGCCAAAAGGACGCTGCCCCCGTGGAACCCCGTTATATAATTAGGAGCAAAACCAGACTTTTATCATAATGAACTCCCAAAAGCATGCACTCCGCACCACCAAAACTTCTTTGATGATTATTATGATAACATTGGTCAAATACTCATTCCAATTACATTAACATATATAACATTTTTTCAAAAGAGTAATTTACTTAAATAGGACTAAAACATAATGACTTTCTCAATATAGGACCATATGTTTTTATTTTCTAATGTAGGACCATTGGTCATTATCTATTAGTCATTATTCAACTAAATATCTAGCATCACTTGGGCATTATTCCTCTCACTAGTCATTATTTAGTCCTATTTAAGGAATAAAAAAGTTTAAGTCATATATAGGAAAATGACTTATGTTTTAATCCTATTCAGAGCAAATTTCACTTTTCAAAAACCTGAGAATATCAAATGAAATATACCAAATCATTAAATATCTCAAAAGAACTAAATCATTTCAAATCGATTAGCCGATTTGATATTAGAGAATGGTTCAAGGTAACTTTTCATACTAAAAGTTTCGAACAGAACATATATACTACTCTCTTCATCCGGATTTGATCTTTCTGTTTCTCTTTTTCCCGTACGGATATAAACTTTCCATTTCTAATTTTCTATCATATGTGGAGAAAATTAAACTCTCATTCAAAGCTCCCACCTATCTCTCCCTCCTCGTTGCCAACGTGCATTCACCTGCTTAGATCTACTTCATCACTCTATATATAATAGTAATATTATTCTTTTACACTGTCGTAATGTACATTACGTAATGTATAAGTGGACGTTGCATAATCTGTCGCAGATACAGACAACGAAACTTGTCCCTCGCTGGCTTGCGACGTCATCGTCGTAGTTAGGTTTGCGGCCACCAAACTACGACAGAACACAGATCATCGCAACACCCTTCGCAACCCTTGGTTGCGATAGAAAATAAGGTCTTTACAATGAAAATTTTCCATCGCAATTTGATGAATTTCTTGTAGTGCTAGCTTAGATCTATTTCGTTTCTCTTGCACAATCAGCCTTCTCATTTCCTTCCAAGAACCCTAGATTACACTCCTTCCCCTCCAACAAGAACTCTTGATTTATTTCCCCATCGAATAGAATCACATGACTTCCAGCGAGGTAATTAACACCATCATTTTGGTGCTGGCTGTGGGACTGACACATATAGCCATGTTGTGTTTACTGTGTCTTATAGATGAAGAATATTATAGGGAGACCAAAAGAAGACCAAATCTAAAACTTTTGGGATGAAAAGTCGAGCATCTTTGTCTTGCTACTAGAAACGCCACAACCGCTCTCCCACAGGGGAGGTTTACACTAACTCTCACACTACTCCCAAGAGGAAAGGGAACTGAAGAAATCTAATAGCCTTATTGTCAAAACTGGCCTCCACTGTCGCTGCCACCGAAATTTCAGTAGTAATGGCGGCCAGTGTTAAAATATAGTGCCTTAGCCATCGATGATGAAACTTGTTAGATGCAGTAGGTGCAGAGATGTTCCCGCCGTTGCTCAATTTTGCAGCCATTTTCGCCCAAACCAGTCGTACAAAGCTTCTCGGTCAAAAATTACGCCCCCACAAACAAAATTTATCGCAGCTATTGTTGCTCAAATCTTCCACCACCATTGTTGAAGAGGAAATAGGAGACTATCATGGGTCTACCACAATTTCATTAAAAATGAAAGACAAAAAAACTTTATAGGTATGTTCGTTGTCAGTGGAATCCTCTATCGCTGCCTCCGTCAAGGTCAGCCACGGTTCCAGCCTAAGAAAATCAACAAGTGCTACTACTAGATCTTCTAATCAACACCTGGAGGTTGGCCTGACGAGGTCGCTGAAGTCCCCTGTCATTGAAAGTAATCTTCAGGGATGGGGGACTTTAGCAAGATTACTTGTGGCCGGCCATAAGTAAAATATTTCCACAGCCACCACAGATTTTGCATCTGCTATGATTCATCACCACTACTTTGCGCTGAATTTAGATTCCCGCGATGCTGTTGTTAGGCTTCGCTTTCCCCGGCCTGTTGTCGACATTAAAGAGCCACGTCGATAGTTGCTCAAAGGTTTAAGCAATTTGTTTTAGGGGTGGGTTTGGTTTTAGCGATTCGGTTTTCACCCAAAACCGAAGACAAAACGGAAGGTAAGTTGGCGGTTCGGTTAGATTCGATTTTGCATAAAAAAATATATAAATCGTTGGTTATTCAGTTTGGTTTTATGTGGTTTTTATCAGTTTTTTAAAAATAAAATTTATAAGCATGAAAAATTTGTAAAATCATTAATTCGATGAAGCAATAACAATATGTAGGGTTGGGTTCGGTTTTTGGGTTTGATTTTTACATAAACACAAAAACCAAATGGAAGGTTAGAGTTCAGTTCAATTTTACTTAAAAAATATGTGTCGAGTGCCTAACAAACATCTAAGAGCTTCCAAATACTCCTTAAGCATTCGTATGTAAATATCAATTACAGAGAATTTGCGTTTTTGGTATAATACTTTCATTTCGATTGTTATTGTTAATATAATTGTGTATTATGATTAGTTATGTTTATATTCCCAAGTTTTTTTAAAGTTTATAATATGGTTTAAAATGTCTACTAGTTAAGAAAAATAAATTTGATCGACTAATCAATTATTTGCATTTATATTTTTATATTTTTTTCATATCACATATACTCATATAAATAAAGCAAAGTACCAAAGAAAGTTCGGTTGATTCAGCTCGGCTCAATTTTTCAAAGTGAAAACCAAAACAGAAACCAAACAATAACATTTCGATTCGGTTTTTTATATTCGGTTTCGGTTTTTTTGGTTCGTTTTTTTTCTTGCTCGTTTTGATCAACTTTGGTTCGATTTGCAGTTTTTGGTTTTTCGAATTTCCCAACCCAACTCTAATTTTCTGCCCAAAAAATAGCTTTCCAAAGAAGATAATAGTTCATATAATGAGATTGGGAATCGGCACATGAAATCTAGTCTATTTCCCCAAGAGAAAAAGTGAAGGAAGATCAAAAATGAAAAGAGAAGAGGGGCCGACTATATGGCTTTTACTCTCGTGTGCATTCTCCATGGAAGAGTGATAAATCCAATAGCTTCCGTACGAAATCACACAAATGTATCATGAGAGAGGTGGGATCCATTTTGAAAAAAAAAGGTAAGTAGTGAGTAGGCATCACATTGCCACATAGAGGAATAATAATATTACGGCATGCATGGAGGAGTCCACTATACTTGATAAAAGAGAATAATTATTTATGGTGACAAAGTATTGAATGGACCTGGCAAAATTTGACCCGACCCTTTTTTACCCAAAACCCGACCTGATATTATTGGGTTTTGAACATGATTTTTGTGACCTGAACCCAAAATAACCCGAACCTGAAGACCCGTTAAAATTTTGGGTAGGGTCGGGTCTAACCCAACGGGTTAAGCACCCTCAAAGCTTACTAGATTAGAAATTAAGATTTGGGCAATTACCCAAATACTAAACCGGCCCAAACTCTTTTTTATGTTTGCTATTTGCTCAATAATCATTAAAGGCCTTAAAGCAAGAAGTGGGAAGCAGTTTACAATCCCGTAACTCACACAATCACCTATTCAGCTATTCACCTTCTTCTTCTCTCGAACGATGATTGTCCCTTTCTCGTTTTTCTCTGCAAATTTTTGTAATCACTCTGTCAATCATACCCCAGTGGTGTACCCTCAATTAACATGGTGAGAAGACACAAGCAGAGTAGCAGAATTCCTCATCCTAATTCATCATCTTCACTTGGGTCTATAGGTAACTAATGTTTAACTCTCTCCTTCTTAAATTTAAATCTTCAACCTTCAATTCTTAGAATTAAGGTTTAATTCTCTACTTGGGTGATGTGGTTAGAAAATTGTGAGATTATTCATTAGTTGATGGAATACTTTTTTAGTTTCTTTTTACAAAATTTAAAGATAAATTACTTTCTTTTTTAGAAAGTAATTTATAGAATTATAGAATTAAAAATTTATTAGTTTCTTTTTTAGAAACTTATAGCGGAATTTTTTAGTTTCTTTTTTGAAAAATTTTAAGTTTCTTTTTTAGTTTCTTTTTTAAATTTTTTTAGTTTTTTGTTGGATTGTAGTCGCATTTTGTTTGAACATAAACCTGAATTTGGATTACTTCCTCGATAGGATTTAAATAAAGACAATGTTTTTTCGTTTAACTAGTTTTAATTTGTTTGTCGGTTTAATTGTATTTAACATGTCCACTTTGATTGTTCTAGCAAACACTGCATCATTGAACTGTATCTGGGAGTACTGAAGTAACTAATAATCTATTATGTTAGGGGCCATTAGATGTGATACTTTTATTTTATTATACAGGAACTACCACTATAACTGAAGAGTCTTCGCAAAATCAGAAAACAAAATGGGCTTCACCAATTCGGGATGACTATAATGTGTTTGATGGAGATCATTTTCCAGATGGTCAAGATAGAGCTCTTTGCAAGTACTGTAAGGGAGGACCAACTTTTGCAAATTCTAATAATGGTACTACTAATTTTAAATGCCATATAGAAAATTGTCATGCCCGTGTTGCTAATGATGTTGGTCAATTACTATTAAACAAGAAGGCTAACTTGGCTAAAAAATTATACCAATGCACATACAAAGAGTTGGTTGCACTAAGTATTGCTCCCTCCGTCTCACTTTAGATTACAATGTTCCCTTTTTGTTCAAATTAAGGAAGTGTCCACTCAATTGTTTTTCCCCAAATTACCCCCCAAATCCCCCCAATTGCCCTCCCACTCAAACGGATGAATAGTGTGTGAATAGTGTAGGAGTGGGTGAGTTATTGACATAGAAGGATAAAATATTGATAATTAGTTCATTCAAGTACTCAAAATGGAGCACACTACATTATTACCATTACATTTAGAGGGAAACAATGAAAATTAAAATCCAAAAGAATTCATTTCCCTCCTAAAATTTCATTTCCTAGTCCTTTCTATAAATAACAACATTTACTCCTTCCATTAATAGCCTTCAATGCACCCTTTCTCCCAATATTAGCCTTCAATGGACCCTTTTCTCCCATTTGATCTTAATCAATTGCCCTCAGATTTAGAGGGTGTTGATACTGCAACTGTTGCAGCAATATCTCCTGCCACTGGACGTTCCGACTTCTTCAATGGACGTCGTGCTCCTGCCAATCCCGACCCTGGTGCAGAACGACAAACAGCTGCGAATGAAGCTGCCCGCCTTGTTCCTGCCTCTGTGCAAACTGGGCAGAGGTCATCATCTGCAGAAGAAGCAGAAAACCAGCAGCAAAGGAATACAAATACGAAGCCAAGGTTGTCAAACGAGGTAAGAAAATGCATTGTTGACGTGTTACTATCTACTTCTAGGAACAACAAACTTCAGAGGGGGGTAATTCAAGCTTTTTTACAGGAGTACAACACATGTTATAAGACCATTTACTTACTGTGGGCAAGAGCTAGAGAACAAATGCAAGAAGGACTACCCATTGATGTTGACCCACAGATGAAAGGATGCCATTAAGCCACTGCTCACTGACATTGGTAAGATAAAAAGGTTACGCTTTTGTTTAGGTAACTTAATGTCTCATACCATTCCCATGAGTCCAACTTTTCACCACTTCTATGACCATATACACATAGATGAGAAATGGTTTGAGCTCAGCCAAGAAACTGTTAGCCTTGGTTTGCTAAGCCTCATGTTTTGATGTTAACAAACAATATAAAAGCTTGATGTTTGTTTAAGTGTTTCAGGTACAACAAGAATCCATTAAGATTCGGTACTCAAGAATGAAGTTAAAACACCAAACTAGCGTAGAATATAGGTAGAAACCAATGTAAGAATATGATTTTATATACCTATATTCACAAGCTCAAAACACTCACAAAATATGTTTAAAACCCTTTTATAATCATTTTCAAACATCCAAAAGGTTTTAAACAAAATTGGAAATGATTTGGACAAAAATGAAAAAATTGTCAAAATGGTCATAAGGTACCTAGGTACCGTATGCACGGGACCCCCCTACCGTGTGGACGGGACCCCCCTACCGTAAGGGGTACCGTAAGAGATAGGTACCACCAGAGAGTTTTGGCCTGAGAAGGTACCTAGCTACCGTAAGCACGGGACCCCCCTACCGTATGGACGGGACCCCCCTACCGTGACAGTTGGGTTACTGTTCCTGATTTTTGATTTTGAATTAAATCAACCCTAATCACCTCCCAACGGCTAATTAACATCTTCCACTATAAATACAAGCCCAATCCTTCATATTTCTTCAAGAAACAAAGCTCTAAACATCCTCTCTTTTTATTCTAAGTGTGTTCATCCTTTTATTAATTATTTTCAATATTTTGGCTATTTCAAGAGCCTTAAATTCCTGAATTTTATACACACACTTTGAGCTTGTGTTTCTAGTTATATACTCTCATATTCATAAGTTAATATTGTATTTTTGAGAGAGTATAATTTCTTTCTACACCGGCTAAGTTTTGTTCTTCATTTTTATATTCTAGTCGTTGTGTAGAATCCTCTTTTGTGTTCTTCAAACACACCTTCTTACGGTCGAGAATAGCCGTTAAATTCTCACGTTGTAACGGTCAAGGATAGCCGTACAAATCCTTGGGTAAAGGTTCAAGGATAGCCTTTGAAATCCTTGGGGGAACGGTACAAGATAGCCGTTGTAAAATCTCGGAGTAAATCCTATTGACAAGGGTTGTTTGCCAAACTAGTGCGGTGCTTTGACGGAGTTCAAGAGACCGAGACTTAGTGGATTCGGAAATCCTTAAGGAGGAGCCTTAAGGTACTGGAGTAGGGAGTTCCCGAACCAGTATAAAATCGGTGTGCATTTACTTTACGCTTTTATTTTTGCGTTTTACTTATTGCTTCCGCATTTGCCAACACCGTTTTTATCAAACTCCGAAAAGATTTTTAAACGCCTTATTCACCCCCCCTCTAAGGCGTGGACACAACGACTAAATCGAATAACAGAAACAACCACATTTTACACCCTCCCAAATGAGGAAGACCCATATAGAACCACCCAGTCCAAGAAGTTCATTCCTAAAATTATGTTTCTAGCAGCAGTTGGGAGGCCAAGATTTGGAAATAATGGGGAAATTCTGTGGGATGGAAATTCTTATGATCATCTATCAGGCAAAACACACACATAAACCTGGGCAAGAACCCAGGGCCAAACACACCAGGGGTATGTGCAAGACCTCAGGGCCAAAAGGAACTCAGACTTTATGGTCATCTATCAGGCAAAACACACACATAAACTTGGGCAAGAAACATGGCCAAACAGACAAGTTTGGGTGTGGTAGACCTCAGGGCCAAACACACAGGGGCTATGTGCAAGACCTCAGGGAAAACCTTAAGCATACATAAGCTATACACATTACCTAGACAAATCTGTGGCCAAAACACACAAGGGCTATCACATAACAAGCAAAATATGCTTTAACTTATGCAACACGACGTTCAAGGTCAAATTAACATGAATTTCAGCATTGAATTATAAGCCCTCTATCATCATCAGTCCTAATGAAATGCATGTCTTTTATTAGTAAGAAAAAAATAAAAGAAGGCATACCGCAAGGATCAAGGTCAGCAGGAATTTTTATGGGGCTGTCCATGAAAAAATAAGCAGTGCATGTCATCTTTTCTGGGTAATACCCAGAGCTCACCTCTTCCCCTTCACCTTCTTCGCTCACAAAACCATCAATTGAGTCTTCTACAACCACACATTCATACTTCTTTCGAAACCTCTAAGTAGGATCCGTTTCAGAAGTGTAGCACGGTGATTCAACACGTACCTCGACTTTTGAATCCGAAACAGGAGGTGATCTAGATATATATCTAGATTGCGATTCTTGAGACAAGAGATCAAAACTGGGCATATATGGATCGCGTTTCAATGGAGGGGACATTGTAATCTTAAACGTAGATTTTAGATCGGAGAAGATGAAGAGGGAGGAGAGGAAGAGATGAGGAGAGGCAGAGGTGAGGAGACGAAGAGGTGAGGAGACAAGAGATCTAGATTAGATCTAGATTTGGGGTGGGGTGGCTGGCAAAAAAAAGAAAAGGGGGGGGGGGTAAAAGAGTCAATTCATTGCAAAGTTATTGACTTTGTAATTTATTTTGGGACAAAATTTTGAGGGAATATTGTAATCTATTTCGGGACGGATGGAGTATAAGACATGGTTATAACTTTAGTTTTGCAGAACATCAAGGGAATAGGGCTATACATGTTTATTTGAATGAAGATTGCAAACCTATCTGTAGAAATATAGCTAAGAATTATTGTTTGAAGATTCATGAAAGAGAAAGATTGAAACTTTAAAAAGTCTTTAGTGAAATTGATGGTAAAATATGCTTCACTTCAGATATGTGGTCATCAATTGTTGGACAGGGTTATCTTAGCTTGACAACTCACTTTATTGATGATAATTGAAATTTGCAAAACAAGATTCTTAGCTTTTGTCATGTGCCACCTCCACACAATGCTGATGTCATTCATGAAAAGATTTTAAGTCTTCTTAAGATGTGGGGAATTCATAAGAAAGTCTTTTCCATGACGCTAGATAATGCAAAGTACAATGACAACATGCAAGGTCTTTGATCCGATAGTCTCTCTGTTTATTCTCATTTGCCTGCTAATGGTGACTATTTTCATGTTCGTTGTGCTGCTCATTTAATGAATTTGATTGTTAAAGAGGGTCTTACTATCATTCATACTTCCATGTGTAGACTTAGAGACTGTATAAAATATGTCGCTTCTTCTGAGGGTCGTGAGTAGAAATTTGAGGATTGTGCTAATAGTCTTGGCGTGGATACTTCAAGAAGTTTGTGGTTAGATTGTCCTACTAGGTGGAATTCTACTTTTAAGATGCTTGATAGAGCACTCCCGTATCGTTTTGTCTTTTCTTGTGTGAAACGGATGGACCGTGATGCACCCGCAGTTCAAGGCGATGAAGAATGGGTAAGAATTGAAAGGACGATCCATGAACTTTTGAAACCATTTGATGAAATTACTACATAGTTTTCTGGAAGACACTATTCTACAGCAAATAAGTATTTATTAAATGTGTGGAGAATTCAATGTTTTCTATAGAGACATTCTGACGACATAAGAGAGACAGATATGTGCATAAGAGAGATGGCAAAGAGGATGAAAGTGAAGTTTGACAAGTATTGGGAATCTTATAGCATGATACTTTCATTTGCAGCAATTTTAGATCCTCGATATAAACTTCAATTTGCGAGATTTTGTTTTGCAACCTTAGATCCTATGACTGTAGAAGTGAAGGTGAAAGATGTGAAGGACAAATTTTATAAACTATTTGGTGAGTATTCAACAGTTGATCCTACTACCAATGTGAATTCAAATTTAAGGAATACCTTAGCAGACCAAGAGGTATGTTTATAATTTCATTTTATATTTATTTATAATTAAATTACAATACTCTAGAATATTTATGTTTGTTCATGACTTTTAAACTTAAGATTATATATATTCATACTTTTTTAATTTTTGATACCCATTTCTCTATTGAAATTTGTATGTAGGCTTTTTTAGCATTTGATGGAGTGACAACTTCTAGGTTTAAATCCCAATTGGATGTGTATTTGGAAGAACTCAAGGTGGATCCTAATGAAAATTTAGATGTTCTTGAATGGTGGAAAGATAATGCTAAAAGATTTCCTGATGTTGCAAATATGGCAAAAGATATATTAAGCATACCAGTCACCACAGTTGCATCTGAATCTGCTTTTAGCTTAGGTAGTATAATTTTAACAAAGTGGAGAGCATCACTTAAGTCTGAGAATGCTGAAGCTTTGATTACCACCCGTAGTTGGATATTTGGATATGATGTTGATGAAGGTAATTTAATATATATCAGGCCCGCCCAATCAGCCTGAAAGGCCATGTGCAATTTAGAAATATTGACCCTAAAATCATGAAATAATGAACACTGATATAAGATACGGAGTATATAAAAACTAAGTCCATTTTTAAGAACAAATTAACATGACAAATTAGTTTTTTCACGGATGAAGGATAATTAATTCTTAAGGGGTGAAAACTACTCCGTAATACGTATACAGTGACCAAGCTTTTAAGAAAGGATTTGAAAAGTCAATCCATAACTTGCAAAATGATGATGCTGAGACAAATTAAGAATGATTATGCAAAAAATGACATTATCTCTTTGCAGCATGTAAGAGAAATATTATTCACTTTAAAAGAGAAATCATATAAATGAGATTTTACACTTTAAATAAGAAACTAATTTAAGATAGAACAATTCGGAAAAAATATGAAAAAATTGAAAATTTAAGATAATTTCGAAACACAGATTTTTCTAAAACAAAAGAGAGAAATATAAAACACTTTTTTAAATCATTGTCATAGAGCAAGAATTTTGCTAATACATATTGGACTAACATCACATATGTCTATGTACGGCACACGGTGAATAATTGGGCCTCATAAATTTGGGGGCCGTGTGCAAATGAACCTCTTGAACATACATATGGGCGAGCGTGATATATATATAACGCTCAATTTATTTTACACTTACAAATTAAATCTTCATATATGTGTTGTTGTATAAATATGTAGATAAACGTGACAAACTTGAAGAAGGCATTGAGTTGGATTTCAGGCGTTCGAGTCGTGATAAGCATCGAATTGAGATGGGGGGTGACTTCATTTGAGAAGGAACTTTTAATCATTTTCTTTGAACTCTAAATTATTTTGCATTTTGATTCGTGTGCTCAGATGGTTCATTTGAGATATGATGATGTTTAGAATTTTTTGCTATGTTTAATTTCTTGTTGTTGTTTTGAATGATTTTCTTCTCTATTTTGAAGAATACATTGATCACTTCAAATCTAAATGGAAAATTTTAAAATTTTTAAATACGCCTCTTAACCCGTTGGGTCAATCCGAACCCGATATCTCTGGGTCATGAACAAGCATCCTTAGACTCGAACCCGAAGTGACCCGAATCCGAAATTACCCGAACCCGATCATACCAAACCCGAACTCAACCCGACCGACCGTTTTGCCAGGTCTACTAATATCGGTCTCTTCGATGTGTTAATGTCGTTATACATCATTGGTTTGGCTCGTATTAACACCGTCACTTCATCGTACCCACCCCGGTCTCATTGAAATAACATTTAGAGCACTGTTTCTTATCGAACTAAATAGCGCCCGTGTTACGAAGATTATTTACATGTGTTTTATCTGTTCTAGCACTAAGCTCCTCGAAAAAAAACTATTATGTTTGAGCACGACATTAGCTGGTCAAAATGTTGAATATATTATTTTTACAGGAAAAATAACTAATTCTGTAACACCCCGGCCGTAAGTGTATGCTCACAGGATTGTAGACTGTCTCCACAAAGCAACACAAGTCTTTTCCGCCCACTTTGTCCTCACTCGTGCGAGGCCAAGGAAAGTTCCCAGGGGGTCACCAAAGAAGATGCACCTTGTTGGTATGAGTAGTACTATCAATCCTTTTGAGCTCTTCCCATTCTCATCTTGATACAAGGTATTACATTCACCCCCACTTAGGAATGCAACATCCTCGTTGCATCCTTTTCTTTGAACCCATAGATCTTTGCCGCTAGGTGAACTAAGCTCTTTTGGCCCGTCACGGTCACAGGGTTGCTTTGATACCATTTGTAACACCCCGCCCCCCACCCTGGCCGTAAGTGTATGCTCACAGGATTGTAGACTGGCCCCACAAACCAACACAAGTCTTTTCCGCGCACTTTGTCCTCACTCGTGCGCGCCCAAGGAAAGTTCCCAGGGGGTCACCCATCCTAGAATTGCTCCAGATCAAGCACGCTTAACTTTGGAGTTTCTAGGTGATGAGTTCTCGAAAAGAAGATGCACTTTATTGGTATGAATAGTAATATCAATCCTTTTGAGCTCTTCCCATTCTCATCTTGATACGGGGTATTACAAATTCAAAGTTAGAGCATTAATAAAGAACTTGGAGGACTAGCAATATCAACCGATCAAGAACATAAAGGATTGGACACGATAAGCATACACATGTATGACAGGGTGGAAACTGGGTCCAATATTCTTAATGATTTGAAATGTTGATTGAGTTACCACTCACTTATTGGATTCTTGCATGGTTGATGATTTTCTGTTGTCGTGGTTTCCTTTACGGAAGGTGCCAACTAATTGCATGATTTGCAAATGTTTATGGAGAGATCATGTCGGGGTCAGTCCCTCGTACATGATGGGAGGCTACTAAGATCGATGTCGTTCAACCATTTGGTTGACCGTGTATGGTAAAAGAATGTTCATTTAGGGAGGGTTTGTATGAACGATGAATTGGTTACTGCCATAAGGCTTATCACAGGAGTGATGAATACGATACGAATAAGATGATGTGGTTGTCGTAATGCTACCGCTTCGAGCTATCTTGTCGTCTTGTCAGTGTGGTAGACAATTGGATGTTACTCAGAGGTTGATCATGAGCTTGTCAGTATTCCCTACTCGGGTTAATTTGATGTATTAGGTGGATTATTATTATTATTTATATTATTATTATTATTATTATAGTTATTATAGTTATTGTTATTATAGTTAGTATTATTATTATTATTATTTCTATTATTATTATTATTATAGTTAGTATTATTATTATTTCTATTATTATTATTATTATTATTATTTCTATTATTATTATTATTATTATTACTATGATAACAATAATTTTAATTTTAGTTTAAATCAAGTTTATATTATATCAAATCCAATTAGATTAGATCAGACCAGAACGGATCAAATCATATCCAAATAGATCGGATCCGATCAAATCCAATCAGATTAGACCGGATCAGACTAAAACTTCAAAAAATCAGATCAGATCAGATTTGTCACGCGAACGGTACGAAGGCTTAATCTTCAACTTCAATCTTCTCTTCAATATTCAATTGTCAAATTGACTTATAATGAGCCACCTTTTTTTGTTCAGCATTTTTCAATTTGAGTTTTTTAGTTTTTGTATGGGAAATTTCGGGATCTGTACGACACTTGCTTACACCTACTTATGCGGATTCTTCATCCTCAGTCTTCAACTTCAATCTCCTCTTCAATCAACTGTCAATTTTACTTATAGCACGCCTTCTTCTTTTAGGGTCCGACGCCACCTCTGCTTTGTCGTTATCGCCTTCTGTGCTCCAGCGCCACCTCTTCACTGTAGCCATCACACAACGCCTCAAGGGCTCCACCACCTCTATTCCAATCGCCCAATATTTCATTGTCTAAGTTTTAATTTTCTAATTCTCCCAAATATCATATACTAAAAATTAGACCTGATAAAAAATGACCCGACCTGTTTTTGACCCGAAACTCGATATGTAAACACTGGATTTTGAACAAAGGTTTTGATGACCGAACCAGAAGTTGACCGAACCCGAAATGACCCACTAAAAAAAGACCAAACCCGACCGACCCGCTAAAGTAAGAGTTTTTCAAAAATCATACACTTACTACTCGTTTTTAATGTATAAATTCATATTTTCAGATAAAATTTTAATGAAATTGCATAATTATCTTATTTTTTCAAAAATTTAAACATGTTTTAAATTTCTTATATTGATTTATATATGTAAAAAAATTTCAGGATTTAAAATAGAATAATCTAATAGATTCAATACATATTTTTTAATATTTTAAATTTATTTAATTGAAATCGTAAGTGTTAATATGAATTTAAAAATTTAAAAAAGCAAAGTCATAACCCGTTGGGTCGACCCGAACCCGATGACACTGGGTCATGAACATACAGTTCTCAACCTGAAACCGAATTGACTTGAACCCGAAATAATCTGAATTCAAAGTGACCGAATCCGAACTTGACCTGACTGACCAATTTGCCAGCTTTACTAAAAATGAAAAAATAAATTGACTTCCAAAAAATAATTCATTTTTGGGAGATGATTTTCTACATGTGAAATTTGCACTAAATAGGACTAAAACATAATGACTTTCCTAATGTAGGATTTAAACTTTTGTATTCCCTAAATAAGACTTATTAATGACCTAGTGGAAGGAATAATGTCCAGTAATGATGGATATTTAGTTGAATAATGACTACTTGATAATGACCAAAGGTCCTACATTGGGAAATAAAAACATATAATCTTATATTGGGAAAGTCATTATGTTTTAATCTTATTTAGATAAATTTCTCTTTCTATATTTCCAAACAATAAGTTAGAATATTGTGTCCCACCACCGAGGCTGCATGAGTTGTCTTAAAAGCCGCTTGTGGATGATGGAGCAAATAATAAATTAATAGTGGGTCCCCGCAGGAAACACGACTGCCGATTTAAAGTAACGGTCGAGATAATTCGGAGAACAAAATTAGGCCGTTGCCGAATTTCCCCAATCTCTCTTTTTCTCTCCAACCACCCCCCGACCGCGTTCTCGACTGCTTCCTTTCATATAACGCCTCTCTCTCTCCTCTCTCCTCTCTCTCTCTCTCTTCGTGAAATCGAACGGCCAGAAAACCTATCAGAACAACAAAAACAATCCTCTCTCTCTCTCTTCTCTCTCTTCTGGAAATATCTCATCTCTCCTCCGCTCATACACTTACGCCAAAAGCGGGATATTTATTGTTTTTTTTGTATTTGTACGTATATACTGATTTTTGTTTGTTCGTCGGTAAAA